GCAAATCCCCGTCGAAGGGTTGCTGGTACTAGCTATGGACAAGATCTAACTATAGTTAAATGTTGATATTATAGCTATCTGGTTAACTCCCCGCATTCAGATAACTAGCTGCCCGTTTCTAGAAGGTACTATCGTTGAACATAAGTTATTTTTGTAATGAATCATTGCCAGTTCAAAGTACTTAATTGTGATAATTAAAAACGCCAACTTACGATAACAAGGTTATCTTCTTATACAGTGCCTCTATTATCAGCGAAGTACCTATTTTAAATCATGAAACACACGTATCATATTTTCTTTTAATTGCAACACAATTCTTAAAAACCTATATGGACAGAAATTGAATAGCTTTTCTTTGTATAATCCACGTGACGCCACATTAACCTATTAATACTAGTTCTACAGTTATTTGTATAATATAACAGTATTTTATACTTTCTGGCAAGAAATGTAAAGATAATTATGAACGGAGTGCGCCAGACCAAAATAAAAATAGCCAACCCCATGCTACTTGAAGCAAGGAAGTATACGCGGCCGTGATCAAGCTAAATTCTAATAATAACGAGCCCAATAATGCGTACAATTTTCCAGAACGTGGAAAATGTCACTGGCCTCGACGGAATGTTGCATTTTTCTATTTCCTCTTTACAAAAAGAAATCTAATTCTATTTAAAAAAATCTTGCTCATTTTATTTAGTATCTCTATCTTATTTTAGTTTTAGGTTACTTTTCATAACAAAAAAATTGATAGAGGGAATAATAAAATAGGTTACTATTAAATGGGGAGGGGTGGATAAAGCAGCTTTTTGATAACAACTAATATGGTTAATTGTAGTAGTAATAAGACATCAGTGTCCTCCTGCTTTGCAAAAACATCAATCACATATTAACCTTTAACTTAATCTAGTCATTTAAATAACAATAAATAACACCGTTTAAAAATCAAAATCATACCGACCGTCGAGTTAATCTATTTATAAATCACCCCACCCCAGTATGGCAGCGTATCATTTGGCCCTATAGGGAAGCTATAAAATTATCCAAAATAGTTATGTATTATCCGTTCAAGATTCCGGCAAATTTTTCGGGTTCGAGAGTCATCTAATGACCTTGACTTGGTTTCAATTCAGATATTGGTATGATATTGAACTTGGCCGACTAGCTCCGCGAGGCGCTTTTGACTAGTCACCGGACGTTAATAACTTAAAGCACAAAATAGGAGCTAATTTATATTTTATTTTCATTACGCAAAGGCAACGACGCTGCCTTGTATTTCTCGTCGCAGGCACACACCTAAGCAAATCAGACCGGCATTCAACCATTCCCTTCTAAAACTTCTCTTCCCTTGTAAAACTGGCTCTATCTAAGAATATAGTTTAGTTACGTGGAAATTTACTCTTTAAATATATTTAATATATAACATTCTCGTGTCACAATGTTCGTTCCCATACTCCTCCCGAAACGGCTCGACTGATTCTTACGAAAATAATTTTATGCACATTCAGTCTGAGAATCGGCTACTATGTATCATTCAAGCCCCTAAATTTTAAGGGGCATCCACCACAAAAAATAAATATTTTTTTGGGTATTTTTTTCCATGATACAACATAAAAATACATACAATACTTAATTTTCACCCCTCTACGATCAACCCCTATTTTTTATTTATTATTTAAAACTTGAACTCTTAATATTAATCTTTATATTGAGAAAAATTCACAGAAAACGCTAAAAAGTTTTCATTCCGGAAAAACGAACAGTCTCCGGAGTACCAAAAAGCAAAATCTTCCATGTTGGTAGGTACTAAAAAGGTAGGCTAAGTAAAATCACATTAAGGAGAAACGAAGTTCGAGGGGGCAGCTAGCATATGTATAAAATACTGACCTATAAACCCTTTAATTACGTTTAAAATTTTCTAGTAACGTCGAGTGATTATGACAAAGATGATTTTAAAATATAAGATGGAATCAATAGGCAGACGCCATTCTATAATGCCACAAGTATCTGATCCAGTGTTGTCAAGCTAGCTACTCAAGGTCAGCATTAGCAGTTTAAGCCACCGGTCCAAATTCGGATTCCCGTCATACAGCAACCTTTAACTGCTAAGACAAAAGTTCATTGAATGACGAACCTACTTTCGGCAGATAAAGAAAGGATTAAGAGTAACAAAACCTCCCCTATTCTGGGAATCCGAGAGGATAGGGAGTTTAGAATGCAGGCTACCTACCTACTCATTATATAATGCGGAATGCCGTTTAGCCGGTCGAGATTTTTAAACTCGCTTGTTATTGTGCGCTTCTGCGCGGAGAATAACCAAAAGCTGTCTTAAACTGCAGTATATGACGATAGCATATCTTTAATATTTAAGAAACCGTAAACATGAGTACTTGGAATTGTGAATCAATTTTGAAAGGCTATTATTAAAAGAATTTTAAAATTCCTCGGAATATTTAATTTAATTATGGCCTGTGATAGCTGAATTGACGATAACCGCGATAACATGATTGTTACAGTTACTATTAGTTAAATATAGTCAAAGTCAAAAATCATTTATTCATGTAGGTATTGTGTTACCTTGTTATTGTGTGTGTACACTAAGGCTATGTTCACATGTAACGCGCGTTAACGCGCGTCAACGCGCGATCAAATTTGAAGAGCGTTCAGATGATGAGCGCTAACGCGCGTTGCGAGAGTACTCGTCAGTCTAGTTCGGTAGAACGTAGAAAATGGACGTGGAAGAGGCTATTATTTTGTGGTTATATTATAAAGAAAAATATAGAAAAAGAAAACGTACACATTGGGTTTATCCAATTTTGAAAAAAAAATACAATTTATATTATATTTTTTATACAAATTTGCTATATTCCAACTTGCTGACCTTTTTTCTACTTCATCGATTAGTAAGTCGATGTCAATATCTTCAATTTCACTCATTTTAAAAGCGAGAACAAAATATAATTACGAAAATTAATAAAATTACATGCGATCGCGATGAAAGCGCGCGCTCATCTGAACAGCAAACGGACATTACATTAATATCAAAGCGCGCGTCAACGCGCGATCACCTGCGTCTAGAGACTTTTTCTCTGAGCGCCGCGTTGACGCGCGTTAACGCGCGTACATGTGAACAGTTGTATGAAAAATACCATAATCTCTAGTCGCGCGATTTGAAAACGCGCGTCAAGTTTTTGCCATCTGAACATAGCCTTATAAACGTCAAAAAATATACATTAAATGCTTCTAATTTAACATTTACGTTCTACGCCCTTGATTTGAGAACTTGCCCTTGAAGAGAAGAACTGGCAATAAACTTTTCGTTTTACACAACGTTTTTAAGGAGCTGCAACCATTACACCATGTTCCACATGAGATCTTAAGTAATAAATAATAATAAAATAAATTAAAAACAAAGATTTGTCCTCTATCAGCAGGAGGCATGGTGAAATATGGTGGTACTGACATTCTCGTGGGAACAACACGCAAATACACAGTCGAAATAACTAACATCACCGCATACACGAATTCAAGTACGACCAGTCACCATAAGTAGCACCCGTTCACGAGTATGACGCATGGGCAGCCATCGGCCCCTCGCCATATTTTAGGGAGAGAGACAACCCGACGCATGGATGCCGCCACAAGCGCAGACATTTAAGCGAGCATGACGATCCTTGAAATGTGAACTTGGCTACATAAGAAAATAATAATAATACTAATTATACTGAAATAATTTGCTACCACATGGATCAACAAACGTTCCCACTTGACATTAAAACAGTCGTGGATGTTGACGATCGCTACAGAGTCTGGAATTGCAGCCGAGAGATTCAGTCGCGTTACCTCTTTATACTGGAGCAATTCATATCCAAGCACTAGGATCGCTTAAATATTATTTTGTATTATAATAGGCCTTAGCAAGCAGTTTTACTTTAGTGTACGATTTAAATTTATTGACAACACTTGTATCTCACTAGGGATTTTGTTGAATAAACGTGAATTATGTATTAATTACTCGTTTTATGCAGGCTTGTGGTTGGTGCGCTAATTTTGTCTTTATTACGAGTACTATAATTATTATGGAAGCTACTATATTATTTTTAAAGATATCTATATTTTTCCGCACATACAAAATATTCCCATAAATGTATTGACTTTGCAAAGTCAAAATATGTAATTCCTTAAACTTCTTTTGGATTGACTCCCGTGGGGACAACCCTCAGATCGCGCTTTTGCACTACTAATATCGTTTTGAATAACGGTGTGATTTTACTTAGCTAAATCTGGTGTGGAAAGACTCCACAATCAATACATTCATTAAATATTATAGCTATCTCTGAACTGATACAATTGATTACTGATTGTAAAATGAATACAGATACACCCAAAGATCTTTTTTTTTAGCTGTTTTTATAATATCATTGCAGCTAATATGGCTAAATATAAACTCATGATTGCATACAGGAACATTCTTTTGCAATAATAAAAGGGCGGCTAATGGTGAAGAATTTAGAACGCTGGTTGTATTTAAAAATGAAAACATAAAAATTATTTTTTTATTTTATTTTATTTTTTGAAATGTTAGTAAAAAACTCTTCAAATGAGATGAGTTTTTTACTCTCTATAGATGATGATAAATTCAATTCTTACAATACGTCAGGCGCGTCATTGATTCTTAAAAAGGAAAAAATCTTTTGGATTTAGATACCATTTTAATATAACAAAAGTATTTTTGTATTGATCTCAAAAATTTATAAATACGAATTTGACAAAATAACAAAAAACTTGTTGTAAAGGTTATTGAACTATAACGCTCTGCCATAATCTGCTTCGTAATGGTAAATAATAATTACGACGTGGGTAATAAAATTAAGCCTTACTAATTTGTTGGGGACCATGTGGTCTTTTCGCTTTTAAATCCGAAATTACTTCACTACGGAGAACCAGTTCATTCTCGTAAATTTGGTGGCGGCAAATTTTTTCAAAGATTTGGGCCGGATGTCTCAAATAATGGAGGTCTCGTTTTCTAAACGCAGCGCGGGAAAGAGCGAGATAGACGTCAAGATCGGGGAGCCATCAATCGAACCTTTTAGGGTTGCCATACATTTCACATCTACTATACTGGTTATAATATTTAAAAATATCATTAGAGAATAAACTTTTTTTCCACTTCTTAAAAAATAACTACCTATATAACGTTAACGAATTATATATAAATGAATTATTTAACTTGAATGTATCGCTAAAGCTCTAATTTGCGTTGCCAGTAATCGATTGGGCGTCATCAGATTCGTATTGATGTTTCCGTGCTACATTTAATAACTAATCACAGCTATAAACATCTTTAATGTGAATATAATTAAATTACAAGAATAAAATACAACAAAATTTGTGAAATATGACAGCATAGTATTTAATGCGCACAATGAAGTTTTATGCGACAACCCTAGCCCGCCATCATAAATGCGGCCGGCGTCACAGCGCGGCGCGGCGCGTCATCGAGCGTCGTAGGTGTTTATTGCTGATAGTCTATTTTATAATCGAAATCGAAAACTGAAACTGTACAGGCAAATTGATAACACTGCATAGTAGGAAATATTATAAACGAGTAAATGTATATTAAATTTCTTGAAAACGCACCTGTCTTGCTGATCATCTTGATCGTACATTTGATCATGCTCGTCCTGGGAAAGGCTGAGCTCGCCAAACTGTTGCTCCACAGAGTTAGACATTTCATTTGATTTCACAACCACAAACACAGGAATACTGGATACACTTTGTCCGAAACGTGGGTTTAGACGAAAATTTGTGTGTTGATGTAGAGTCGGAAATCCTTGATTGTTGGATGGGGACGTACGACGATCGGTGCGCACACGTGCTCGTTTAATGTCGTGGTTTATTTTTGTATTACATAATAATGGGAAGCGGGCAAAGGCACCGAGAGCGGCGTGGTTTAGATACGGGCACGTGTGCGCCGCGCGTACGGTTCGCTAGCTATCGAGAGCTGTAACCGACTGAGTGACGTGCCGAGCGTAACGTCGTAATCGAGTCGAGCGAAGCCAACCCAACTTGCGACGATTCTCCTTTCATCAATTTCGTGTACATTTTGTCGAGAATGCGCACGTTGGGCGTGTCTGTCGAGGGGCCCGCGGGGAGCACAAGCGCGCCTTAGTAACGTGCCCGTGTCGATAATTTTAATCGATAGTTTATTACTACAACAGTTACGTGTTTAAACTAAAAAAAAACTTTAACATTTGAGATAATTACGACCCTGATTTTAATGCAATAGTTAGCCCGTATGTGGTCATAGCCAAATATTTTCGTCTATACTAGGTACAGGTAGTTAACTTATTTTAACTGATTTCTATACTGGGTATGAGAACGGCTTATCGATATTTTAATTCTATCGATAACTTCGCCACAACGTGCAATCCCTACATAGTTTCGTGAAGTATAATATTGAATCCGTATGCCAGCGCCCCGCGCCCTTGTCTTCCACGGTGATCGTCCGGAGCCCGTGGAGGGCGGTCGCCCGACACCGCCTACTTCGTCCGGTACAGGCGTCACCCACTTTGTGTCCCGCGCCGTTTTCCAACGAGAACGACCTCGTGTACTCGTAGATCGAAAGCTTTTCCGTGCGCCCTTCAAAGGTCCTTTACATGTATGTGGCGGGTCTAATCTCATCAATATTTTATTGTTTTAGCTGGTGGCACTAGTCTGGGTGTCAGTTGGCCGTCTTTGAATTAGGTCTGGTCACCGTTCGCGCCGAGCGAAAGCTGGCGAATGAATGATTCGAGCCGCGGGCGCTGCGACTGCTATACTGCAGTGTAGTGTTGCTAACATTGTTTCATTAAATATTATGTAATGTAAAAGCAATCTTAGGTAGAGGTCTTAGCATAAAACTATCAAAAATCATGTCTTAACTAACACTTGAACAAAATATATAAATAACAATCAATCCACGTTTAGGGGGTGAAATAGTGGAACTTTTAAATAGACACGATAAATCCCTTTTTAACCAATACTTTGTATTACAACCAGATATTGTTACTATACTAATTATTAATGTTTTCATGTTTTGTGTATATAAGCGCATACCGTCGTTTTATATAAAAAAATGCACACCTATTTAAAATTATTTATGTACTTATTTATTTATTTTTAGTTTTTTTATTTTATCTTTGGTTGATAGAAAAAAATGGCAATTTAGATTAATAACAAAGTTGGCCCTACCAATGTAGTACATATTTTTTATTCTGAATTGCTACGCATTCTCGCATTATATAAAATTAAAGTACTTACCTACGTAACTTCCACCCAAATACATTTACATATTACCTATATATACCCCAAAGTTAGAAACCTGACCTGAAAATGCAAGAGTAGCTGAGTATCTAACCCTCGAAGGACCTAGTACACAAAATTAGGCAACTGATATATTCGTATTTCGACCTTGAACTTGCCCTTTCGTAAGGATTATGATACAGGCGAGCGAGCCCGCAAAACTGCCTCTTAGTGCTCTTTGGTGTTTTGTTAAGCACCCTTCATGCTATGCTGTTTTGTTTTTGAGCATTCCCCATCGTGATTTTCATTAGCTGACGATAATTTAATTCACACGTGACCAAGAAAATGCATGAAAACCCCCATGTTTTAATCCAAATATTATTTACTAGGTGTTCCCCTGAACTTCACTTCATTGATTTAATATTATTATAAGTTTTGGAATAATGTGTGTATCATCCTGAGTCTTTCTTTTCTGAGTTTTTACCATTTCAGTTCAATATCCAGTTCAGTGTTTTGTATGTTGTGAAATCAAGTCTAATACCAATATACATATTGATTTATTAACAATTATTACCTCTTGAAGTTGAATATAGCCAGTTCCATTACACCATTGAAATATCTTTTCAAACCATTTCTTATACACCACTCGGACAAAATGTTGTCGTTTAAAGATATCAAAGGTGAACCAGAACAGTCTCTACTTAAGCCTAGATCTGATTTATTGCAACCCAAGGGTTAGAGTGTAAGGTAGAGTATAATAACCATATGATAGTATGTGTACAAGTATCTATACAATTTTATAATAGGTATACAAAATATATATATATATATAACCCTAATTAGGCTGGCCTAACAAGTACACTTATTTTAGGAAGCTATTGTTTTTTATTCTCATAATTCAATCGCTCACTGTAGAAATTTATCACGGCCTCAAACTTGTCACTACGAAAAAAGGTACATCCATCTGTGATAAATGCACGAGGGTCCGGGGGTTTGCTTTTTGTTTATAACAATAATAAAAAAATCGCTGTGCGGTGGGCAAACAAGCGTGAACCTTTCGATTCCCGCGCATTGAGCTTTACAAATAGTATTCTAATGACGTTACGGATGTAATAATAACAGCGCCGTTACAACCCCATTAAAATCGCTTCAGAGCTGCTTCGCCCAACTGAATAAGACCGGATATCAAGGCTGCAAGGATGCGAGCGATAAAAATATCTTATCGGTCGCCACGTGCTCACACATGCAACAAGCAAATCCATTAAACGCAACTTAGATCTTGTCCAAATTTATTTCTTTATAACCTAAAACATGTTTCAGTTCAGTGGGGCAACTGAAGGACGTGAGGTCCGCGATGTTAGCCAATACGACATCCGGCCCTAATGACTAATGCGTTATTTCGTTACACGCGGCCGTTGACGGAGCATTATCAAACACATGGGGTTAATAATATCCACTATATAAATAGCTACGCAAACCGTAATATGTCAAGAATATTTCTAGTACTCAATAATATTAGTAAAATCTGATTTAATATATTTTAATACAGTTGAATTGTCTCAAACATAATGAAAGGCATAACTGCCCCGAATTTCTTTGTAAATTTTCATAATAATGGCTCTAAACAAAATATAGAAAGTAGGGTACACTTAGATGCACATATAACGACCTGGGGACATAGGGCTCTACTCTACACATGCTTATTCATTATAACAAGTACCAAAATGCACCAATTTTAATGAGACATCTATAAGGCTACGTTTTGACACATATCTCACCTCAACAAACGATCAGCCATTCAATATAACGGGGAACCACCCACCCAACGAATACAATCTACACCAAATTTCACACCCTACGATAAAGATTAATTCACGTATTCAACCACCACCCATCGACTCGATAGCGATAATGTAATCGTTACGCGACTAGAGCTCAAAAATCTAGAAGCCTGTGCCTGTCTAAAGCCGTCGTTAAACTTAGCGCACGGGGGTGAGGTGATCTGGGCGGAGTGCATTGATGCAATGCGCGCGCCAGGTTGCATTCGACCTATCAAGGGGCGTGTCCCACCCACGACCCGTTTCTAGGACACCTAGCCACGTGCAATCACCTTTCACCCCGTCCAGGCTCAAGAGTGACGTCACCCCTTATACAATTAGGCAAACCTGAGTACGTAGTACAAGAATATATAATTATTATGTATACTGTACGTAACGCGTTTGAAAGTGTACAAATTTTGGGGTTGCTGGAGTTATATCTGCATAAAATGTCCTAGTTTTGCGAGTAAGGGGGCTGTAAAATTTTCATAGAAATTTTTAAAACACGTTAGCGTACAATACATTGCCAACAAGGTACAGCTATAATAATATAAAGGTACCTGGACGAGTAAGTGAATCGACGACCCTTTGTGATCTGAGTTTTTATCAAGTTCCAGGTAATAGATTTGAACAATAGACAACATTTGTTCTTACAAAAACCAAGTTAGGAAATATGTATTTCGCAAGCCTAAGAAAATAAATAATTTAAATATACTTAACTATATAAATTGTATGGCAAGTTAATAACTATCGTATTGACGAATACTTAAAGCTATCGTAATGCCTGTGTGTCATAGGTATATTATATATAATACATCAGCCGTCTTGCGCTTCGATGGGTCGCTCCTGACCGCGAAATGGCGCTTTACGAGGTTAATGGTTACATTACACATGAGTTCAGCAATAAATGAGATTCCCTAAAAAAGGGAATTCCGGAATGGCAATAACCATGAAATATGTAAATACTTTCAAATAGCTAGTTCAAAGAAGCGCGGAACGCTAGGCCCCGCGCGGTCTGCTAGTTGGGTGTTAAGAGTGAGGTGATGCCGCATTAACTATGAGTTATAAAAATAGATCATCCCTCACAAAAACACCTAATTCCGTAGTAGCAATACCAAACAATAGGGTTACCACCACAATATCCACTTTTAGCACTTTCCTTATGTCGATATAGATGCGACGTAATGCACGCAGCTCTTAACTATTAAAAAAACAGATTCTACTTGAAAATCAATATTTGTCATATAGAAAGATATTCTTTAAAAGTTTCATCTCTCTTGGACATACACCATGGCAATTTTTTTTTCGCTGCAAATAGGTAAAAATAACTTTTCTATAGATGTTCGCTCCGATATAGATGTGGGCGTTCTGTGAAAAATTAAATGCGCTTGAAATGTTTCCACCGCCACAAATTTTATATACAGATGTAATATACAAATCAATTTACAGCTCTATCGCGTGTCAAAGTTGCACTTGTATGGCGACTATCATTGATTCGGCCATTTTGAATGTGTTTTATTATTCTTTAATCTCACCAGCATTAATTGAGTTTCATAAACCTTAATATTATTTTATGTTAACTTAGTTAAGTTAAAAAAATGCCCAATACAATTATTTATTTTCTCCTATTGACGGTTTAAAACAAAAGCCTCCTACAATAATGATATAAAAAACTAAACAAAGTAAATAGTCACACAGACACTCACACATAAATATTTGCAACACACAAATAGATCGTATAAATTACAATATTTTAACCTACAATTTTTTTTTATTGTAGTTAAAATTTATAAGGTAACTACTTAGTTACGTTATTAGTTTTATCCTAATAGGCCTATAATTTATTAATACAACTTTGACAAGGCGTCAAGTTGTTCGATTCTATATTTGATAAAGTTTAGTACATAAAAATATATCATATGTTGTATAAAATAGTACATCGCGGCAACCCTCACCACACACAAATTCGGTAGATTTTTACAATAGTCTCGATAAATGGACAACACAAAAGAATCTTTCATTTCAAACCAGTAGTTCCAGAGATTAGGGCGTCCAACCAAAAAGCAAACAAACGCTTCAGCTGTTTAGAAGCCGCTTTGCCCATTCTCAACGAACATTCACAACGTTTCTTTTCAACTACTGTAGGCAACTATTTAAAAAAAACAATTGACATTTTTAAAAGCTTAGTAGTGTCCCTGGTAGCAACGATATGCATACATACATTATGGATACATTAAATCATTAATTGTATCAAGAATCAGAAAACTTTGTTCCACCAACAAAATAGTGAAAATAAGAAAAAAAGAAAATTAAAAAAAAAAAAAAATTTTTTTATTCTTATTTAAAATTAAGAATTGTCTATTAGTGAAACTTCTTTAGTCGCAAGAGGGTAAAATTTTAACGATACGTAGCGAAGATGTGCAGCATTTATGTCGAAGAAAAAGGAGAGAGCGATTGAGGCCGATTGAGAGAGAGTGACAAGGGCAAATACCTTATAGAAATTTTAATTTTAAAATTTCGTAAAGAGAATTTATGAAAAATTACTATTTTATATTTTATGCTAAATAATTTAATGAAATCTCAAATGACGAATTGTAAATGAAAATGCCATGTGTTTTTATGATATAAAAAAGGAAATATATAATTTGTATTAATTTACTTAAATTAAATTAATTGAGTTCCTAACATACCTTACTTTTTCCCTCCCTCTAAGTCTCGGAAATCTAAAGTTTTAGATTAATCAACAGTTAAAGTTTCACTTGACATGTGTACTTTGTACGCACGCACTTTTTTTATTTATATTGCGCTACGCTTTATTAGCTTTGAAAATTCAAATACAACTAATAACCACTTTTAAAAGTCTTCTACATAATAACTTCCACTTCCTAACCATATCCTATCCTGCTCAATCGCGTCAATTTGTAATTCAAGTATTTCTTATTCTTTTGTTTTGTATTGTAATTCATTAACAGTGAGATTAGATTTTAGTTTTTAGCGATAAGACCGCCCGTTGCATCCCTAATAATTTATGTTATTTGATTTTATTTTAATGTATCGAAGTTTAAATAAACAAAGTAATAAGAGCACACAAAACGCTTCCCCTAGGCAAGAAGACGTCGCGTCGCACCAGTTCCCTAACATAAAATATTACGAGTCTTCGACGAAATTTCATCTCAGCACTGTATTAGGACAAGTCAGGCAAAGACAATATAGCCGCAAGCTTGGCCGTCTTTGATCCGACAAGTGGGCCACACAGGGCCCACTTTGTGTGACTAAATGATTTTCAGTATCGATTTTATTGTAAACTAGCTGTTCCCTTCCACGCTTCGCTGTGGCACATTGTGATTAAATGGATAAGAAATGAGAAACAAAACAAATAAAACATTTCATATAAGTTTAATTTTGCATTACTTGTGGAAAATAAATAAATAAAAAAAAAAGTTTGATATAGATTATTTTATATCTTAATATATAGGGGGAGATCGTTACCCTTCGTACGCGGAGCACATTCATACAGTCAAAATAAAACTTGAACGAAACAAAGTACAGTCTTGTTTTTGTATGTGTGCATGAGTCGAGGTACCAACTATACATCACCGAAGTTTCGCGAAATTCGCACCGATGAGAGTGAAGTTACAGGCATAGACGTGTTTTCGCGTTCGGTATGTAATTTTTGATCAATGTTTTTGTCTCTTGTTACCGTAGATAAAATAAGTTTTCGTGTAGAGTATTCTATCAGTAACTAGCAAAATATACTTAAGATACGTCTCCAATACTTAATTTATGACGTTTTCCTATTTAAAATTCGTTATATTTTGTTGTTATTCAGTTAGTGGGGTACTTTCGGACAGCACTAGATGGGGCACATTTGAACGAATTGTACATCTAAATTTATATGAAAATATTTTGTCGACACGAACTGTCATTTTCATACAAATTAAGTTTTCGACTTGCTACATACACTACTGTTAAGGTATCTTGACTAAACCCTCTGGTAGTAGGAAAGATTGTGTTAGTGTGCTAATTGCTAATATTTGCATTAACTTTGTCCTGTGTTGCTATCATTGCTATCGTCGATGTAAATATATATTAATAGCTATTTTTATTATCTTTATTAAGGTTGATTTTGATGCTTGTGAACCAGATGCTTTGAATAATTTACCAATCCATCAAATAGTAGCTCCTTCGAAGTCAGTTTTGACACCAGAAGCGTTTCGACCCTATCCGCATGTTGTAAGAAGTAATAAAACAAACAAAATGAGGACGACGGCCAGGAAAACCACGAATTTATACTGCACACCCGAAAATAAGAAGTGCTAATCCGCACCAAAGATTAAATAATGTGATTCTAAATTAAAGATACCTAACTAATTAAATTTTGTTTTACTTAAGAAAAGCTATGTAATTTTTGTTCACTATAAGAAAACTATTTTATTTTTGTTTAATAGAAGTTAAATCTTTATTTTTGTGTTCAATTTCATTGCTAATAAATGAATTTTGATTTATATGTGTCGTTTTAATCGCACGTACGGAACTACCCCACAGCGTACGAATGTACCCCCAACA